AACTTCTGATTTCATGAGAATCAGTAGGTTCAAAAAATAGCAACTAATTGTCTTGATTTTCAATTCTTTGATTACTTTAGCTGAATAAAATTTCATGTTTCTTAGTCATTTGTATTTCCCTTTCTATGATTTGTCTATCAGCGTTCTTGGCTGGGCAGACATGGTTAATAAAGGCCCCAATAGTCCTATAGTTGTCTGCAAAGGATGCCAAACCTTTGCATTTAGCCACATCTGATAGGCTCTGGCAGGATGACCATGTCAGCATTGCTATTTCAATGGAACCAGAAAGTGAATGTCTCTGTGTTTTATTGCAATCTGGGAGAAGCTGTTTTTATAAACAACATCTAGCATATTATTGTATTTTCTTCCTCTCTGAACTTCCCATTTCTTAAAGGTTGCTCTATGGGAGTGTTAAATTTGATGTGTGTCTGTTTAGCCTTTCAGTATGTGTTCATGTGCAATGCATAGAGGCCACATTAATGGACTGCAGAGTACAGAGAAGAACCTGGGCTTTGGACTTAGGCAGGTGTTGGACAAACTTCTCAAAGGCTCAGTTCCTCTTCTTTCAAGCATAAATGATAGCCTTATCTTGGAGGAATAAATGTATTATGAATGTAAAACTCTTAGAACAATGGCTGTCAATATCATAAGGCTCCTTTTAGCCCAACAATTCCTGAGCCCATTCTCTACATCCAGCACTGGGCTAGTGCCAAGTACGAAGAGGAATCACACTGGGTCCGTTACAGTGTTGTGTTTCCCTCAAGGTAAAGGTCAATCTGCTCATAGACAAGGCCAACAAGGCCTCCAGGGGCCTGCCATCCTGTGGATCTTCATTAAGCTCCATGGCTCCAGCTGTCATAGGTCGGTTGACAGCTTGCACCCTGCCCCTGCCCTTGGTACTAAGGATTGAACCCAGGGGCACTTTACCACTGAGCTATATCCCCAGCCCTTTTTATTTTTTATTTTGAGAGAGGGTCTCAATAAGTCAATGAGGACCTTGCTAAATTACTGAGTCTGGCTTTGAACTTGTGATCATTCTGACTCAGCCTCCTGAGTCACTGGGATAAAAGGTATGCGCCACTGTACCCAACTAATAGCTCTCTTTAGATCCCCAGACCTTAGCTGCAGTCCTGTGACAATCGAAAGTGTCAGTCAACATTCTGATACAGTATTACAGCTATAATTTTTGTCTTCTCTTTTTTCTTCCTAACATTATACCATAAGCCTTTTCCCTTTATAGTTGAGGTTGCCAGCTGAAGCCAGCCACCCTGTTTAATTTCTGGCTCTATTACTTGTTAAGTGACCTTGGGCAATTACTTAACTTCTCTGTATCCTGGTTTCCTTATCTGTAAGATGCAGATAATAATATGCTAGAGAGTGATTATTGGTGTTCCCCTAAAATTCATTCATTAAAACCCTAAACCTCCTACATGTGATGGCATTTGTAGGTCTTTGGGAGAGGATCAGGTCATGAGGGCACAGCCCCTGTGAATGGGACTAGTGTCATCATTATTATTGTTGTTATTAATTTTGGCAGTATTGGGGATTGAACCCAGGGCCTTACACATGCCAGCCATGTGCTCTATCACCAAGCCACATCCTCAGCCCTATAGGATGAGTGTCCCTATAAAAGAGACCCCAGGGAGCTCCCTTGCCTTTTCTTTCTTTCTTTCTTTCTTTTTTACCATACGATTTATTTTTATTTTTATTTTTTTTTAGTCATACATGACAGCAGAATGTATTTTGACATATAATACATACATGGAATGTACATACATCAATCATAATGTCTATTCTGTTCTGCTGCCCTTCCTATCCCTTACCTTTTCTACCATGTGAAGACACAGTGAAAAGACTACCATCTACAAAGAAGGGCCCTCACCAGACACCCTGTACCTCAATCTTGGATTTCCTAGACATCCAAACTGGGAGAAATAAATTTCTGTTCTTTTTAAGCCACTCAATCTATGGTACTTGGTTATAGCAGCCCAAACAGACTAAGACATAAGGTACTTACTTCGTGGGGTTCTTAGGATTAAAGGAAGTAACTCACCTTTAGCTCTTAGGAGCATGTCTAGCACATAGAAAGCATAATTATGTATTACTAATATTTACCATATTGCCTTGATAGCAACCCTTACAATGACATTATATAATTAAATTGAATAGATATAATTATCCCTTTCTCTGATGTTGGATATTTAAAGTGTTTCCAATTTTTAAATATAAACTAAAATGTTATTCCAAAGAAATGAAAAGAAAATCATCTTGTGGTTTAAAGGCAGAACAATTAATTTAAGAATTAAATGTTGAATGAACCCACATTAGTAGACCTAAATTGTCTTTTGGAAAAATTTAACAGTTTCTGTATATATTAGGGCTAATTGTCCCCTCTGAGCAGCCCAACATGGGTGGTCCTTGCCTGGGCAGAACTGGCCTGGATTCCTCAGCAAGGTCTTCTAGTACTTTGCTGTGATTCTCCTGGCAAAGAAGCTGCATCAGCTTTCCTCCCCTAATGCCAGAGACCCTCCGATACAGCATAGCTCTGGGCCAACCCAGCAGTTTTTAGATATCATTTGGAAATATCTAGTGGGGCAACTATCAGGTCATGTCACCTGATGGGGAAGTTATGGGACAGAGGTTTCTGATCTGGTCTTTCAGACAACAAGGCTCAGAGTTAGCAATGGTATTATTGAAATATGAACCTACATAGACAGCATTGTGACTTAGGCTCTATAAATGTACTTTTGCATCCTCAACGAAGTAAAAGAGGATTTATGGGCCCCACTTTATAGATGAGAAAACTGAGGGTCAGAGAAGAGAAGACTTTCCTCCAAGGTCACACAGTCTATAGAGTCATGAGTCAAGTCTGTCTGACTCTAAAGACACAAACTCTTCCCAGGGGCACCACAGGATCTTTTCAATTTAATCAGCATGTATTAGCATTCACATTGTATTGCCCCCATGAGGCACTGAAAACAGACAGACAGACACATCAGTCACAAGTTCTAGTATTAAGGCTGATGCATGCCTGCGAGGAGTAATAAAGCTGTGTGGGCAGTTCAATTTATCCTGTTGTATATATTTCTGAAAGCCATCCTTAATCCTTTTAGGAAGAGGCAGGGGAGAGGTAGACTGGTAGATCAGGGCTATAATCAATGAATAAACAAAGGGCAGTAGGAAAATGGGGAGGGAGAGAGATGAGTTCTCAGAAATCCAAAAAAGTCTCTTAGAGGATGTGACAGTTTGGTTAGGGTTAGGAGCCAGGAGGAATCAGCAAAACAGGCACAGGGCATATGTCACATTCACTCTCTTCCTAAAGAGAAGTAAAAATAGAACCTCAGTTAGTTCTTGCTAAATATTGGTCTTGAAACCAGAACAATCCATTTCATTTTGTCCCCACTTACATACATAGACAGATCTATCAAGACACACTCAGAGGTAATCATGATGCAAAAACACAAAATCCCATGAAGCCTGTCAGCACACTTAAGACACATAATATATAAAAATAGATACTAGCTCCTATAGACTCACAGATACTTGCAGTATTCATACATAAAGACTTAACAAACATGTTTATGCTTTCATACACAAGCCATAAATATCCTCCCTCTCCAACTACTCATGCAGGCAAATAAATGCACATTTTCGTTAACATATACAAGTTCATACGCAAATATCATCCTGCCGGTCTGGTTAGAGGCCAGTGACTAATGGGAAACCATGCACAAAGGCAAGCATCATGTAGAGGAGGCCGGGACTGGTTTAGTGACGAGGCTGGGATTAAGCCAGTCAGATGACAAACTCGTCCTGCCTGGCTGCCCCTGGAAGCCGCTCAGCTGAGGAAGCAGCAGCAGCTGACCTAGCTCTGAATCCTGGGCCAATAATGCGAGGCTGCGTGCCCATTTCCAGCTTCATTCAGGGTTTAAAGTCATACAGGGTCAAGCTACGTTATCAGCCCCACCCCAATCCCTGAAACAGGCAGGAGACTCTGGGGACACAGCAGGGCTGAGACCTCTGGCTGCTTTCTAACCTAGGCTTGTCCAGACACGGCACACTGAGTAGTTAGCATTAATAAGGGTTTACAACAGTGGGCCAGGCACTAGGTTAAGCCCTGTAGGAATATTACTTAATTCTCACAACAGCTCTAAGAAGGGGGTGGGATGCGTCCAATCATCTCTATTTAGTGGTGAGAAAACTGGGCTCAGGCCACAAAACCACTCGGCAAGAGAGACAAGAAGCCCGATTCTAGTCTTCCGGGGAATTAGGGTAAAGTGCATAAGTGTGTCTGCCTCCCTTACGCAAGGCGCTTGCACCTTCTGCTCCTGACCCGTTTCCAGACCTCCCAGAACTGCCCGGCCCAGCGCCTGGACCACAGCAGGTGCCTTGTCACGGCATGAAGCATGGGTTCAGTGAGGCGCTCAGCAAAGACCTCAGTTTCCCCATCTCTAAAATGGGAACGGCAGTGCAGACTTTGCAGGACTGATGCCAGACTCTCCCAGGTAGCAAAGGGAATTCTGAGCTCTACATCCCCGCGGCTCTCGCGCCTATAACGGGGTTTCTGCCCACTCCCCGCCCGATCCCGGGTGCGGCGCCGGCGCCCCATTGTTAGGAAGGCGGGGACGCTCCCAAGAACGGCTTCCCCGCCCCGGGACGCGCTCACAGCCCAGTGGAGCAGACGACTTGGCCTGGCGTCTGCCGCACGGGGCGCGTCCTTTGTCTACTCCGCGGCGCCGGGTGCCCGAGGCCCGCGCCCCGCTCTTCGGGCAGACAAAGCGGGGGCCGCAGCGAGCCCGGCCGGCTGGAGCGGGGCTCGCACCACCCTCCTCCCGCCCTACGTACCGCCCCCTCCCTTCGGCGTGCTCTGATTGGCCACCGAGGTTACAAAGAGGCCGGGAAGCGGGTGGGTCACGTGGGATGGCGTGACCTCCCATTGGTTGGGGACGGCTGCCAATCGAGGAGGGCGGGCTGTCCGCGCTCGGCCCGGTCGCTCTCTCCTGGCTGGGGCCCGCCCGCGGGGCCGGCCGCCTGTCAGAGGGAGGTGGCGATGGTGCGCCGGGTGGCGGTGGCGGCTGCGGCGGCTTCCTCGGTCGGAGTGCAGAGCGGAGAAGATGACTGACCAACCGACTGGCTGAATGAATGAATGGCGGAGCCGAGCACGCCATGAGGAGCCTGCCGAGTCTGGGCGGCCTCGCCCTGTTGTGCTGCGCCGCCGCCGCCGCTGCCGCTTCTGCAGCCTCGGCGGGGAATGTCACCGGTGGCGGCGGGGCCGAGGGGCAGGTGGACGCGTCGCTTGGCCCGGGGCAGCGGGACGAGCCCAGCCACCCTTTCCCTAAGGCGACGGCTCTCTGGACCCAGACCCCGAGGACCGGCCCCCCGCGGACTACGGCCAGCCGACCCTTGGCTGCGACCTCTTCAGCCCAGTCCCCGGAGACCACCCCTCTTCGGGCGACGGCCGGACCCGCTCCGACCACCTTTCAGGCGCCGCTCGGCCCCTGGCCGACCACCCCTCCGGAGGTGGAGCGCACTCCCACCACTCCTCGGGTGCCGACCAGACCCGCGCCCACCACCTTTTCGACGACCACTGTCCTGGCGCCGACCACCCCTGTAGCGACCACCGTTCTGGCACCAACCACTCCCGGGACCCCGACCCTTCTCTTTCCTACCAGTAGCAGCGGCAGCAGCAACAGCAGCGGCGGCGGCGGCGGCGGCGGCAGCAGCAGCGGCAGCGGCAGCAGCGTCCCGCCCACCCCACCTGCCACCGAGGCCCCTTCTCCTCCCCCAGGTGAGTCCGGGCGCGGCCACTCGGGTAGGGTCCTCCCCAGTGCTGCCCATCCTCCCCAGCCCCCGGGCATCTAGGGTTGGCCGCTTCCCTAGAATTGATCGTTTCTTGTCCTAAGGATCCCCAGATTTCGGCTTCCAAAGGGAGAGCCAAGCTCCACCTAGCCCCCCAACCCCCAAATCTGGAAAGTCTTTTGTCCCCCCTGAGCTGTGCTGTCTCGGGAGGGGCCGGCTGCCGTGTGGAAGGCATCGCATCTCTTTCCAAACAGGGTTTTGGATTTGGTTGGCTCAGCGGGTCACCCCGCCCGGTTATTTGGGGAAGTTTGAACAGCAACACAGTACCTCCATCAACCCATAGGCCAAAGCTGACTGTAAGGGGTTTCTCCCAAAGCCCCAGTTTCCTTATTCATATCTTTTTGTTTATGTAAATATCCGATCTATGTGTGTCAGGTGGAAGAGATATTAAGAGGATTTTGTTTACAAAACAGTAGTACAGAGCACTTGAGGCCAAAAAATAAAAATAAAAAAAAAAAAATCCATGTTTTCTCTGCAAATAAGTAGATTCAGTAGGTCATCTGGGACAGGTGTATATCTAGGTTGAGCAGTTTATAAAATTAGGTTAAATCCCTTCCTTGCACTTTTTTTTCTTTCTCAATTACAAGGTCAATATGTTTGGAAAAATATAGTTTAAGGAGGGATACCCAGATTTGTCCCTTAAACTAGGCTGTTCAATTTTGCTGATGCTGACAAATACCAATTTTCATGTGAGTTCCCAGGGAAAATATGGATCTTCTTCCTTCTGAATGAAGTCTTCAAGGAAAGTTAGAGATGGCTTCTGTTCTTTCCCCCTTCAACTGGGATGGGAACTAAACAAATAAAATCTACTTTGTCAAGGTGATGGACAAGATTTTCTGAGTTCTGTACTTTGAGTGGGGGTGGAGATTTGTCTAAAGCACTTGCCTAGCTTGATCACTGACCTAATTCTTAGGCTCAGTGGTTTACTGTGTTGTCAAGTATGAACCTTGGACTGTAAATTAATTTGTAGAGAATTTCCCCACATGGTTATGATCCTTAATATTATCTTGAGTCTTGAGTTGGAACTTGGCAATGACAAAAGGAAGAACTCAGATTATTCACCCCCAAAACCATTTATATCTCTTTCAGATTCAAGGACTATTTTAACTGAGTTTTTACCTGTGGTGCCTTTTGGCTTTTATACAGAGAGATTGGCATATTATTGAAAAACAGGAGGCATGATGGTTGAAAATATGGACTATCCATTCTTAGGTTTGAATTCCAGCTCTGCACCTTATTGGATATATAAACTTGGCTAGGTAACTTAATCTTTCTGGCCTCAGTTTCTTCAATTGTGAAATGAAGGTAATAATAGTACTTACCTTATATGATTGCTGTGAAGATTAAATAAGTTAATACATTTATAGTGCTTATAGTTCCTAATGCTGAATAAGCACCCCTTATATGTTGGCTATGCCTATAACCAGACTTCCTGCTCCCACCCTTCTCATGGGTAGAAAAGCATTTGAGAAAATTAGTAGGGAACTGTGATGATTTTTTATTTGTTTTAGTAAAACAGAATAGAGGAAGAATGAATTAGATTTTATGGAATTTCAAGCAATCTCTCTGTATAAAAGCCATAGTTTAAGGAGAGATACCCATTTTTGTCCCCTTAAACTAGGATGTTCAATTTTGCTGATGCTGACAAATACCAATTTTCATGTGAGTTCACAGGGAAAATAAGGCTCTTCTTCCTTCTGATTGAAGTCTTCAAGGAAAGTGGCATTTAGGTAGCAATTGCTTTGGTTAGTTTTGATAAATAAGTCTTTTTCCTTAATGTTATTTTACTTTTATTATTTTTAAAACATAAAAGTAACCCTAACAGTGAAAAAATATAAACAGCCAGAAGTCTACACAGCAAAAAGTGAAAATTACTCCTTCATTACCTTCTAGTTCTAGTTGGTCCCTAGAGGTTACTACTGCTAGCAGTTTGTTAGATCTTTTTTCAAACGTTTTTCTGGGTATATATGAATGTACACACAGAATATTTTAAAATAGTTTTTAAAATGAAAAAATTCTATATATATTGTTTAACAGTTGTATTTACTTAATTATGCATCATGGACTATTTTTTTTCATGCCAGTACCTAGGGTCTACATTATGATTATAGTGATTATTATTATCACTATTATTATTTTCTGTGCTGAGGAATGAACACAGTGCCTCATGCATAGGCAAGTGCTCTATTACTAAACTACACCTCCAGCCCTACTTTATTCTTTTTAATAGTTGTGCTTTCCACTGTAAGAATGTATTATAATTTATTTAACCAATCTATAGACACTAAGAGTGCTTCTGGACTTTGCTTTAAAAAACATGGAGAAGCATGGACTCTAGTCTGCTTCAAATAGTAAACATATCCCTTTAACAGAGAAAATTTGTATTTGAATTTGAGAGAGCTGGTTTGACTTGCAAAGTTAGATTCCTTGGCATTTGGGAAGATGATTGTACAGGTTTTTTTTGTTTGTTTGTTTTTGTTTTAATTAATTAATTAATTTTACATTGGACTGCATTTTGACATGAAGTACGCAAATGGAGCAAAACTTCTCATTCCTGTGGCTGTAAGTTGAGGGCCACAGCCTAGTTGGGATGACGCATGGCATGTTGCCAGAAGGGGGTGGTTGAGACGTGAAGCCAGCGAGCCATTGAGATGATGATGATTATGTTAAGCTGTGTATTCAATTGTATATAGACCTTTACTGTCCGGCAATAGGGTGGCTGGGTGCAGGATACTTTGGAGTTCCCACGGAGAGTTGGGGCGGAGCCGGGTGGAGAGCTGAGAGAGTTCCCAGGAGTGTGCTAGGAGTGCTGGTGGAGTTCGGGCAATAAAGTTTCCTGTTTGAACATACAAGTGCTTTTGTGGCTGCTCGGTGATTTGTGCCCAGACTGCGGAAGCTGTACATGGTTGTATAGGGCTTTTTTTTTTTTTTTTTAATTTTAATGTTCCTATAAGAACTGAGTGCCATTACTATTTGGTTGGCTAGTCTTATAGGTGCTTTTTGAATTAATAAAAATTTCCATCATGGAAATTTTTCTGAGAGCTCTTGCCTACTCCTCACTTAGGGCCCTTTTTGTTTACAGGGACCCTTATCTACAAACTGAAACTACTTGCCCCACAAGTAGGAACTCTTCCCCCAGAAACCTGGCAGAACATAGGGCTGATGGGTTGGCTGGATAGGACATTTTAAGAGAGCGAAGGGAGATACCATGATACTAGAGAGTAATAATAATAGGAGTAATGAGATAATGGCAAATGTTTGTTTTTTGAATTATAGATCTTTAGGGCTGGATAGAACCTTAGAAGCCATTATTTTCTAACATGGCCCTGGGTATTTTAAGAAATACTTATGTAGATTTAGTTGAAATATTTCTCCCTGTAGTTAACACTGACTGGTGGGATTCTGCCCTGTGGGGCCACGTAGAACAAGTGTATTCCCAATGTGCCATGCATGGCCCTTCTTCAAGAATTTGGGAATAGTGATTGTATTCCCTCTGAGTCTGGACTAAATAACTTCAACTCCTTCAACTGGTCTTTATGTGAGTGTTTTCACATTTTTTTACTGTTGCAGTCACCTTGATTGTGATTTTTTTGTCTTTCTGTGACTCTTCCAAAATGTGGAACGGAGATTCATTTAATACTCCAGATGTGCTCCAGCCAGCTCATAGTAGAGAGGGCAGTTAGTTACTTTATTTTTCTGGATATGATACTGATGGTGATGTGGTTAGTTCCTAATCATAGTAGCTTTTTTGGCGCCACATTATGTTGTTTGCTCAGAGTCCATTGAGATAGCAAAAGCTTTTATTTAAAAAAAAATGTGCTGGATGAGTCATGTCATTCCATAAAATATAACCTGAGACATTTGCCAAACTTATAAAGATTGATTGTGTTAGGTTCGAGTCATCCTTTTAGATCCTAAGTTTGCCAGTGTACTCCACCCAATTTGTTCACATTACCTGCAGGGTGTTCCTATAGACAGACTCTAAGAACAAGTCAGGGCAGATTATTCTTACCTCACATGACAAAGTAAATTTATGGATGATAAAACAATTTGGAAGGAAAGAGATAACAGTTTAAATTAGTTCTCAAGGGTCTTTTTCAACTCTGAAATTCTGTGATAATTTGATACATATGATTCAAGGCAGGCACATTGATGCCCCTAAAGAACCTGAATTGTTTGTCAGCCAAGTTATGAGTGTAGACTTTGTTTAAGCAAGCCCTAGAATTTAGAGTTTGAAAACCCCTAACTATTATGCATGTAAATGAAATTTTACAAATGTATTCTATTTGAAAGGAACACTCTGGGAATCTAGGGCCCTCCTAACTATGCTGGGAAATGCTCTCTTTATTTTAACATTTTCTACTAATAGCTCAGGGTTTTACTACTTCAGCTATTTAAGAAGATACCATTTGTTTTAAGGAAATAGAAACTGTGTAGGTTCCCAAGATAATATAGGCTAACAATCCTCCTCCTCCTCCTCCTCCTCCTCCTCCTCCTCCTCCTCTTCCTCCTTCTCCTCTGGTACTGGGGAGTGGACTCTGGGCCACTTGACCACTGAGCCACATCCCCAGGTCTCTTTTGTATTTTTTTGAGAGACAGGGTCTCACTGAGTTGCTTAGCACCTTGCTTTTGCTGAGGCTGGCTTTGAACTCAGATCCTCCTGCCTCAGCCTCCTGAGCCACTGGACTTGCAGGCATGCGCCACCATGCCCAGCTTAGGCTCACAATTCTTTATCCAGAACCTTTGGAGCTGAATATATTTGAGAATTTTGAGATTTTAGGAAAAGTCTGAAAATACATACCAGTGAAGCTGGGATAGCCTCCAGTAATCAAACACATTAAGATATCTGCAACAAAATGCACACTGAATTGGGTACATAAAGACTAAAAGTAGCCTTGCATCTGATTAGGTGAGGTTTTGATGCCAAAT